ACTCGAACCCTGGACCCTCAGATTAAAAGTCTGATGCTCTACCGACTGAGCTATCCGGGCGATTGAATCAAAAATTTGCAAAATATATACCTACTCTTAGTACTATAATAATATAAATAATATACTAATAATATAAAATTAAAATTTATTTATGTATAATACAAACGCTATAATGTATATATTTTTTATAATTTATATAGATAATCCTAATTTCTTATATATATAATTTATCATTTATAAAAATTATAAATATATATTTTTTTCTCAAAAAAAGGAAGTTATAGACAATTTTTTAATAAAAATTACAATTATGCCATATATTTTATTTTATTCGTTTTTAATTTTTATTACTAAAAATTATTAAAAACAATATTTTTTCTGTTTACAGTTTTATATTAGTTATTAATGTAATAAATAAAATTATTGAACATAATGTAAATATATTTTTGAAGATATACATATAAAAATAAATATTACAAATATAATGAAATATATTATAATATGTATATTCTTATAAATAATTTTACATATTTTTATTATTTTTAAATTATTTACATAATTTTATATATCATGGAATGAAGAAAATATTAACAATAAAGAAAAATATTCTTATATATACAAATATTATATCCTTATATAATATTTAAAATGCATCAAGAAATATTAAATTGAAAGGATAAAAAGGATTGGATATAAAATATTTAGAATGTATATATATTGTCATCAAGAGAAAAAGCTTAAATGTTTTTGGTCCAAAAAATATAACTTTTTTTTAGATATACAACTTTTTTTTTAAGCTATAACTATTTCTGTTTTGTTATTATTGGTAATCAATTGCAGAAGACTTCCATTTGTTGGACGTTCTTGATTTTGTGACCATTTCCAAAAGAGGCTATAAGACAAAATATTATTTGTAAAAAAATAAATTTAAATGCCAAATAAGAAAAAAATGTTACTTACTCTGCAACAAATTCAAGTGAGGTCCATTTAGATGTGTCAGCATTTGGCATCCATTTTCTATTCATAGGTGTATCTAAAGTGACAGGTAAGATAGAAATAACAAGAGAATCTTTAGGAAAACCACTATCTTTAGTTGCTAAAGATTTAGTAAGTTGATGAACAGCAGCTTTGGCCATTCCATATCCAATCATCCCTGGTGTTTCTGCTAATGCAGCTTTAGCACCAGTTAATGATAAAAATCCTCCTTCTTTTAAATGATGTGCAGCAATGCTGGCAGCAATAACTGAACTCCATACACTTTGCTTCCACATAAGTTCACTATTTTTTACAAAATCCTTATGAGCTGCATTTCCACCAGCCCATCCACCAGCCACACATATAATTGCATCTAATTTATCTCCTTTTAAAATATTTGTAATTTGTTGCAAAATATCAGCTTCCTAATTAATAAAAAAATTTTTGATTTCAATAGTAATATATACATATATATATATATATATATATATCATTAAAATTTTTATAATTTATATAAAAAATAATAAAAATAATGAATAATTTAAATAATAAAATATATAATTTTTATTTAAATAAATATAATATATAAACAATTACCTGTTCTTGCCAATTACTGTCTGATTTTACAATTATATTTGCATCAGCTTGTTCATTTACTTTCATATCAATACAGCCAACCCACTATGATTATAATATTAATATAATTTTATATATATTATTTTTTTAAGCTTAATAAAAATTTTATAATTATAAATCTTATATAGAATATAAAAAATTAATTAAAAAATATAATATGATAAAACAAATATTTTTAGTTTTATGAAAATAAGATAATTAGAAATATTTTATATTTGTTTAACAAATATATTAGAGATATAATATATGTGTACAATGTGAAAGGATAAGTATGGCCTTGATGTATTTTTCCTATACAAGAATGGTTAACATGAATAGTTATAACTTTTTGTTGAAATTATTTTTTTATAAAAAAAGTATATTTAATTTATTTTAAAATATATAGTAATATGTACTTAATGATATAAATTGTTCATTTAATTATAATTAAAAAATAAATATATGTAATTTATTTATAATAAATTAATTTACGAGTTAATAGCATCCATTGTAAATACATATATGTATGTATATATATATATAGATAGATAATATATATAGATAATAGACAGAAAAGACAAAAAAAATATTGTATTTCATAATATTCAAAACAGTGCGCGAAAAATTAGTTCGCGATTTGAATGTATGAATTATATAAAAATGTTATAAAATTAATATATATCGAAAAAAAATTATCGATTTAAATTTAAATTTATAAGGATATAAAATAATTTTAAAAGAAGCATACTTAGTATGTACATATTATGTAAACAAATATATATTTATAATAAAAAAAAAATTTTCTTATTTATAAATTCATCTAACAATTACTTGAAATTATTTAGTAAATATTTAAAAAGAATAAATTGTTAATATATGCATAATTGATAATTTATTTCTAATCAAATAAAATTAATTAATAATTTATATATATATTATTTTCAAAAATAATCAATTAAAAAACTGAAACTTTTATAAAAAAAAAATCATTCCTACTAATAATAAAAATGATATTCAGATTTTTTTTTATATATTGTAATAATTCATTATTACTATTATTATTGTTATTATTACTTACCCAACTTTTCGACTTGAATTTTGAAATACAAGCCGAACCTAAAGCACCTTTACCTCCATATACAAAAACACGTCCAAGTATTGCCTCCATTGTTCAATAAAAGAAACAACTTCGCGAAATATGCTTCGGGAGTTGCGATTATATACGAAAGAATACGAAGTCATACGAGAATCTTTCGGAAAAGTTCGTAAAAGGAATGCTAGATTGCCAGATTTCGGCACAAACTATGAAAACAGATTGTCAACTGAGTAGTCGATATTGTTTCATTAAAAATATTTCGAATTATTTTACATATAATATACATATAAATCTTAAAATTATATATTATAATTTATGTTAAAAAAATTGAAATGATTTGGAAATTTAATATGATATCATAATTTTATTTGTATAATTTTTATAATTTTAATGACATGAAAAATAAAAGCATTTTTAAATATATAATCAAGTTATTTATATAAACTTCTTATCTATATATAATTTTTCTTCATTTTGTATTATTCTTTCAAGAAATTTTATTAAATAAATAATTAAATAAATTGACTTAGTTTATATAAAACAATACGATCATATTTTTTATTTGAATTTCCCACGCACATTTATAACAAATGTGGCAACATCGCAATGACAGAGACCCTGCCCGCAACGTTCTCCGGGAGCGTAGGTCTAGTGTGACGTCACGGTAGCCTAGTTGGGTTAGGTTTTACGCTGGAAATTCTAACGAAAAATTTTTTGTTTGACGATTAATGTTTTTCCCATTGTATCTGCTACATCGAGCGACGTGAAGAGCTAACGCAGTGGCGAGCAGTAATCATATTTCATAAATCGTTCGATCGCGAGACTTCGCGCTATCGGCGTATATGAGATTTTAAACGGAAAATGAATCGACATGACGGTACGTACGTGTGTGCTGTTTCTGACTAGCAAGTCAGCCTTCACTTCACACACTAAATTTGTTTTATGTTGATGGCAAAATTTTTTGATTATGAGATATTTGGGGATGTGCATAAAAAGTTTCTGCAGACTCATCGTCGAGGTTACGAAATCGACAATGTATGAGATTTTTCCTAAGACATTTCTTGTAAGCTCTGTACCAAAGGGTCTAATGTCAGAGGCCAGATGGCAGCACTTATAAAAAATTTACTCCAATTTCTTTGGGTTTATAATGCTTTTTGATGATTGTACTCAATTTTTTGTGATGTCATCGTTTTTTGCTATTTTAATTATAGAAAATGAATAAAACATATAAAAAATATTTATTGATTAACTATCAAGATATTGTGACAAATAATTTCTTTAAAATTACTTTTCTTGTTCAATTCCTTTCTCTTTCTTACAATGTTAAATCTTTAAAACATATTGGAACATATTTCTCTTATTCTATATGTTTGAATTAATTTCTTTTTTGACTTTTCTTAACTTTCATGTTTGTATTTTTTAATTAATGCATTATTTATTATATTCTTATAATATAATATTAACATTCAACGTAATTGTAATGAATTTTTACATTATAATATTAATATGAAAATAATGAATAAAAAAATATTTAATCATCATCATTACTTATTTAATATATAAATAAAATTAACACATGTATTCTTTCATATTTATTTAATATTTATGCATGTTACATAATTGGAATTAGAAATATTATATTGAAGTTTAAAAATATATGTATTAAGTTTCAAAATTTTAACATATATATATATATACATAAAATTCAAGAATATTAATATATATATAATATATAATAATACATATAAATTAATTTTTGTAATATTATTATGATAAAGTAATATTGTTTTTTTTAATTACTTATAATATGTTTATGCATATATAACTTATAATCTAAAAATAGTATAAACAAATTTAAAAAATTATGAATA